TCTTCGTAATTCACCGGTCTTTCAACAAAAATTCAACCAGTGCTTATTTTTTCAAAAATTGGTCAATTTTTATCAACTATCGCTTGGACGTCACGTTGATTAGCTCAAGAAACTTGCCCGAAAAGAGAATAAAAACGGAGTATCTCTTGGAAAACAGTTAACTATGACTATTTTACATACCAGTTTAAAGTTAGCTTCGTCAAAGATTATGTTCTGTGTATTGAATAGCTAAAAGATCGGATTACAGCATTTCTCACATACTGTAGTTTCTCATTTCGCATTAGTGAATAAATTGGTACTTTAAATTATTTTTATATAAATACAGCTGGGAACTTAAGTTAAAGGCCTTTACCTAAAGCAATTTTAATTAACGGCTAAAGAAGATTGAACTATGGAATTCATGAATCTAAACTTTTTCATTGCTTACTATAACTCCTAGCTTATTAATTCAGAACAAAACTAGAGCTTTAGCGTTTTAGGTTTAATATCAAAAAGCGAGAGCCTTCAACGTATTTTCACATCATTGACCAAACCGCTTTCTTTGTGGATAATAATGCGGTGCGATCGATTCACGCGTTTGGCTAATTAGGATGACTGGTTAAAACCAATTAGCAAAATTGGCCTAAAAGTGCTAAATTTCTCAGCTTACTAATGGAAATCTTACAATGGAGTGTTTTCAGCTTCTTTTCAAGTTAAGTTGTGATTATTTCCATTGGTAAGATTTACTTAACTAAATATATACAACTCATCTGAGTTTTAACAGTTGTCAAAATCCATCATAGACTTGAAGTGGCGCGGTCGTCCTAGACGACCAAGAGTCGCACATACAAGTAAAGTACTTACGAGAAAGCCGTCTTCGGGGTCCCCTGCTAACTGTCGTTATATCTGATACCGAGTAGATTACGTTGAGCTGAATCCTACCCCCGAAAAACATCTCGCCGTTCTCTCTTTTTTTCTCGGGGGAGGGGAGGGGAGAGTAGGGTGCGGTTTCAGGCAGGCTAATATCGTGCGGCATTTTTCAACCTTCAGTCAGATATAGCAAAATATTAACCCGTTTGTATTTTATCGTTTGGAGCTACGATTTATGATGCTGTTTATCAACCGAAATTGTTACAATTTCACTGCAAATACTTGTTCTCTATCCGAATGTTTTTTTTTTAAAAGAAACGGCTTCTCGCACCCCCAATTGTATTACAGAATTTGGCCAGAGAACAGGGGAGTGTGCGTAATAAGGGGAATTTACTGTACTATGACAGTTCGTGACAATATATTTCTGTCGTATAAGCCACTCATACTTTTTAAAGGAGTTCATCGCCTTAAGAGGTAGTCTCACAACTTATATGTCACAACAAGTAGTCAGATAATTGATCAAGTCATAACTAGTTGTGTTAGTCTAATTCAGTTGTAATTATCCAGAGCATTCAGCTGGTTAAACACTGAAAAGATAGTTCGATAATACATTGTTTACGCCCGTGAGTAAAATTACGAAAGACGTACCAAATTAACACTAAAATAATTTTAATCACTCTTTTAAAGAAGACTAATTCACACAATGACCGCAAATGTTTCCACGTGAAAGTAGTAGCGAAAAACCTTTCTTGGCGAGTCGAGTAAAATACAAAAAAGGGCGCACGAGGCTGATTTGAAATAACGAGCACGACTCCAGCCAAATTTTATGACGACGGTCTTTGTTCCTTTCAATAATTTGCTTGTCTTCCTTTGTTCCCCCTATTATCACGAGCTTTTCCTCTGCTCCTGTTCACACCTTAAGTTCACACCTTACCACCCCTTTCCTCCCAACCTCGCCCCAGGACTTTTCCTTAAGGGGGCATGGGAGAGGCCCTTTAATTTTCTACGGGAAAATCCCTGGGAACGAGTTTCCTCTCCCTGCCCAAAATATGAGCTCTGATTAAGTGCGAACGTTTGTTGGTGTTTGTTGTAAAATATACCAAAAAAATGATGCTTCTTCAGTATGACTGTGAAGAATTAAACTCAAATATTTTCCCTCTTGGACCGTAAATGACTTAATTGACGCCCACTTCCAAATAAACGCCTCTTACGTAATAAACGCCCCCCTTATCGCGCCCTTATTAAAATTACTGCAAATACTAGGAATTAGAAAAACCCAGCAAAATCATTCGATTCATTCAGTTCCTTGCTTGATTAACAAGGCTTTGCTTAGTCTCCTAAACGCGGATGGTTTTCAAATCTCTCGAGTTAATCTCCCCCTCTTTTTACCCCCCTTTGATAAAAAAATTTCAACCCCCCCCCCCCCCCCCCCACATGGACCACTAAAATTAAAGAGACGCTCTGGGAATTTATTAGGTCATTTACGGTAACTATTTTATGTCCACCGACACTGTGTTTCGTTTTTTTGCATTTGGCTGAAATTATCATCGATTCCAATTTTTCTCTCTTATCCCAAGAATTTCTTGTCACTTTTTGAACGATAACCGGGGATCCTATAGCAACAACGACGGCGGCGACAGCGAGAACGACAAAAGAGCAAAAACAAACAACAAACAAACAACAGCAGGCTGGCAGACAACAACAAATACAACACAGTATCAAGGTTTGAACTCACAAAAAGAAAATGCCGCAATTTTCAAAACTAAATGGTTGCATTACCATACAAACCTTAATAGTTTAAACCGCCGAAATACAACACCTCCTTGCGGGAAATAATACTCAAAGAGTCAAGTTTGCTGTTTCTAGCAAAGTGAGCTTGGGCCACCTGTGACTCAAACGACTCCCATAGTCTGGGCTACCTGTCCCTCTAGCACTTTCACCCCTACAAGAGTTCCTTTAAACACAAAATGTAGAACATCGAGTCATGATATGAATAATTAATCGGGAAGTATTTACTGATTTTAGCATCAATATTGCTTGATGACTACAAACGAAAACTCAACAATCAATTGAAATTCTTTCTTTGCCTCGTCTATTTATCTTTACAATCACAACGATAAAGTCTTTATTTACCAACCGCTTAAGATGCACTGGTCTTCCGTGCGAGCTGTCTCTGAATTGCATATCAGTTAAGACATGCTCTGAAAATAACACGATAGGAAGTTTACGTTTCAAAAACGCTTAAAACTGATAGCCGGCAGATGCTGTAAAGCAGTGGCTTTGTCAATTTTCTTTACCATTTTCTCACATAAAAGCTGAGTGCTTCGACAGCGGCACGCGTTGAGAGACCATTTAGAGGTGACAGCGTGAACCGATGTCTTGGCAGTGCACGGTGCAATGAAAATCACCAATCAATTGGCAGCTGTAGCAACAGCTAAGTTACGTGAACTAAACGTCAAGCACTGCTCAGCGTGACAATTTTTAACAATGATCTTGCGGAATATTTGCGTTTGGACTTGTCAATCGAAAACTTCTTTCAGTTCTGCAGCTTGGTCTTATCAAAAGCACAACTCTCGCTACTCAACAGTATTGTTAACTCGAAAATCGGTCATGTGCGCAGCAAAGTTTAACGGTGCATTTGAACATCAACAAGTTATTACTTTTCCTACAGAGGACTCATAGTCACGACCACTGTAGATGGGAGCAAGCTTTAGGAATAGCCGCCAGCCAAAGCAAATGCTTTTGAACAAAACAACGAGGTATTTAAGTGATCAGCCGGCTACTCCTGCCATCCCTCTGACTCTTGACTTCCCTGAAACAAATCAAATAAAAATAAAGTAAAGAAAGAAATAAGACGATACAGAAATCACTTGCTTTAACTAATTCCGTGGCCATTAAGGAAATGGTAGTTAAAGCATGCAGCTTTACAGTACTAGAAAACTAAACTACACCAAAAATGGACACAGGAGTTCTATTATCAACCCTTTAAGGCCCAATATCCATAATGAAATTCTCCATACTAATCTCCACTCATTTCCATACGAAACTAGTTGAGAAAATTTGAAAAAAGATCGTAGCATTTTCCCTTAGATGATCATTTTGTCAATTCTCATAACCTCTCCAATGGACAATGTATTGATATCAGAGAGCTTTAGATCAGAGGACGAGAACGAATACGAGATTTAACTTAAAGGTTTTGCGTGTATCCTGGAAAAATTTCAACACGAAAAGCTTCCGCACCGCACTATTTTTCACCTGAAAAATAAGAGCGGTTATTTTTGTTGGAGAAGGTTTAGCCTTCTCAAATTAGTTCTCAAATTTGATAACTTGTTCCGGCCACTACGACATTCTCGCAAAAACCCGTAGTAGAATGACGACGGCTACCACGTTTTCCCGCCAAAATGACGTTGGCTCACGGTCCGTAAGAGCACTACTTGGTACTGAGAAAATCTCGTACTCGTAGCCTTCCTTGTCTCTGAATCTAAAGCTCTCTACTGTTAGGAGAAAATTTATCTTGGTCACCCTTGAGATTTTAAGGGGTCATGAACTCTCTCTCCAAGAAAGGAAAGGGGGCTTTCCCAGGTCTTAATTGACGCAAAAAGAAAAAAACAAAACAAAACAAAACAAATGGATCACAATGTCCCTTAACAATGATAGTAAAATAGACTTCCATTCGTTGTTGATCCAAACAAAAAACCGCGTATTTGTCGTAATGGTGGATCGTCGAAGTTGTGGCCACTATGTCGTTTTTCCAGTTTGACACATAACATGACAACTGAAAAATCTCAGTTCAAAGAAGATTATTATGGTGTGCCGCGAAAATTCTTCAATCACCATGCATCTGGTTAAACCAGAAGTACTCGAGGTAGAGCTCAAAATAAAAAAAATACACTGACGAATCCAAACCTAAAGCTAAGAAGCCAACTAAGAAAGCAAAGGACCAAGATTGAGACACTAGTCAACAAAGGAAAAACATTCAATGCCTTTGTAACAAAAACAGTTACTCCTTGAAATGATACTTTCTATTCAGAACTTGAAATGTCCAGTTCGTATAAACAGTTGGATATTTGTGCCACTATGGAGAATGTTAGAATGAACGCTTAAAATTAATATTAGCTAATATTAGCAGGGTGGAGATAAGGGAAGATTAACAATACCTCAAGCTCAACCAAGTCCTCCACACACTTGACCACATCAGGTATCTGCTTGCCTCTGAAGCCAGCTGAACCACAGACTGCCTTTGCTTTCTTTAGATACAAGATCAATTCCTGCCTGAATAGAGATGGTACAAACACTAGTCTACAACGTATCAAGTCTTCACACACTTCTTTTCCTGCACTAGGCGGTGATTACGTGTTGACTGACTTGCAAAGGGAAGGGGTGTGTGCAAGTCACAATGTAACTGGTGAGTGGAAATTACCGTAAATGATCTCATTGACACCTCTCTCAAATAAACGCCTCTTGTCCAATAAACGCCCTCTCTACGATGTTACGTTTGTATTTGTAGACGCTCCTCTCTAATTAACACCGCCCTGTCTAATAGATGCCCCCTTGACAGTTATTTCAGTATACTAGAAATAGCAAAAAGGAGCAAAATCATTCTTTTTATTCAGTTTCTTGCTTGATTACCAAGGGTTTGCGCATTGCATCTTTTTCAATGTCAAGTTCAAAGTAAAACAGGGTAACAATGACCACACTATGACCCTGAACGAGGATTCTGACATTGAAGTTGAGATTTGAAAGAGGGATACGGATCTCTAGACCGACAAGACATATCAGTACTGATAGACTGGGTATTCTGTTATTTACAAACCCTCTTGATACTTTCGCCAATAGCAAATTAATTTTGTAGAGTTCGTTGTAAAAGTGAAAATAAAAGCCCCTGACAAAATGTTGGTAAAAACACAATCTGGACTGATATTCACCTGCTTTTGCTTGGAAACCTCTTCTGAAGAGCCTCCATAAGCTTGTCAAAAGAGGAGAACTTGCCCACGGAGGGAGGGGCAGGGGGTGGGGAATGCTCCGGTGCTTCCCCCTCTGGTACAGGCTCAGTGTTAAGACCAGGAGGACGGCGTAGTGGTGCAGAATTTTTAGGCAGCCCACCTCCTGAAGCAACACCATTTTGTATCATCTGCAGGCTACACAAATACTGGGATAACAGTTCTGGAGGAACGACAGGGAATGGAGTAGCTGGTGTGGCAAACCCTGGTGGAGCAATCATAGGCACTGGTTGTTGACCATTACTAGAATGTACGTTCATAGGAAACTGTTGTCCATTTGAATTGGTATCTCTGGGTACAGTTTGCTGATTTTTTTCCGATGATAAAAGTGGTTCTTGAGCCGAACTTGACAATGTTGATGGCACTTCTTTCAAATTTTCTGCCCTTGTGATGTTTCCTACTTGAGTGGGTGTCACACTAATAGGGGATTTTGCTTCACCACAGGCATTGTTGCCTCCTGTTGACTCAGAAGATTCAGCATTACATGAGCTGGTATCTTGCTCATCACTGACGCTTGATTTCTGACCAACAGACTGCCTATATGAACGAGGTGGACTTCTCAAGTCAATCTCACACAATTGGTCCACGTCTTTATGTTGCTGCACAGCCTGTTCTTTTCTGTCAAGGGTTGGTTTATTCATGGGACTCTTTGATTTTTTCCCTACAATAACTGTCCAGCCATCATTATTCTGTTTCTCCTGGTCACTGCCCTTGAGGCCTGTAGTTTCACCATCACCTTCAGCTTCTGTTCTTCTTTTCAAGCTGAGAAGAAAAAAAGAGGAGATTAATAAAGATGACTGTCTCTTTACGCAAACCACATTACCATGAAGTAGCCCTGGGCAAGCTAGCCTGTGAATGGGGCTAGCTCTTCGGGGCACTCTGGCAGTGGGGTGCGAAAAGGAAGGAAACTTGCAACTACGTCTCTGGAATTTGAATTCCACCTGCAATTCCCCTGTGGCTCCCCGTTGACTGAGCTGTCAGATTTCCGCCAATCGCATGAAGGTATAATGAACCCGAATGTAAACAAACATTGAAAAACCTGTGAAAAGGGTAATGACATCATTATCAATGTCACCTCTGCCAATCAACATTTTGTATTGACTTTTTCAATGCAGATATTCAAATTCCATTGACGTAGTTGCAAGCTCTCCTTTCTTTTCCTGCCCCACCGCCAGAGCACCCCAGAGAGCTTGCTCGCAGGCTTTGGGCAAGCGAAATGTAAGAGCTGCTTGCTCAAAGGACAAGCTGAAATTCAAGTTTTTTCAAACCCTCCAATTTTGTTGGACCTACTAATGTTAGATGCTGTTTGACCCGTTTGACAGAGCCCTTGAAATCAAAGGTTATCAACAGGTTAGTAGATGAAAACTGTAGAAAGAGATACCAACCATGCTTCACAGTCATTGCTCTTCTTGGCCGCGAACAGAGTTGTCTTCATATCATCTAGCTGTTCTTCCAGAGACTTCAGCTTAGCAGTTTGCTCTTGAGCTACTACCCTCAGGGCCTCCAACGCAGCTTCCTTGAGTTGTAGGGCAATTTTAGTGGCCTCCAGGTCTTCTTCTTTGGACTTCAGCTCCTTTGATATTCGTTTGATTTCAGTTTCTTTGTGTCTTTTAAGTGTTTTGAGATCTTTCTTTAGTTTCTGAAAACAAAGAGAGGCAATCTGGTTTTAAGTATAACAACTTCTAATGATTAGAATTGTGACCCTTCACGCGACTTGGGGGCTTATCTAAATTTCACGCTATGCCTATTTTCACGATCCAGGCCGTGAAAGTAAGAAAAATTTTTGGAATGTGAGTGAAATTTCTCTTTCACGCCGTGAACACGCCGTGAAAAATTCACGGCTACCGTGAAAATTTCACGCAGTGAAAAAGTTTATAATGGCCGTGAAAATATTTTATGCCGTGAAAAATTTCAGTCACCGTGAAATTTAATTTCACGCCGTGAAAATCTTCCAACAGTCAAAATGAAAATTAATGTAACATTGTTTTCAAAAGTGTACTGTTTAGATGTCATGCAAGCCTTTATTTGCCCAGATGAATGTAACATGTACTGGTCAGTACTTTTTGATTTTTTATTTTCGGCAAAACAAATGAAATCGCTAAAAAAAAGACACCGAAGATCGCCGAAGATAATCAACAACTGCATGATTCCGTCTTTGTATTCTCTAAATTTACAACCAAAGTATCGTTTAAAATTTAAAAGAATTTAGAAGCTTTTATCTCTTCCACGAAGTTATGCAAATGCTAGACTCGGTGGCGACAAGATGAAGAAATATGTAACGCATGTTTTGATATTGCGTGATATCTTTTGGATTTATTTCATTTTTACCCTTCTGTTCAGATCGTTGTAACGGCGAAATTTTGAGTATAACATTTAGCAATGAGACAAGGAACTTGAAATGGAGCATGATAAATCAAGTAGAGTTTGCACGTGTGATGGATGATGATGGGGCTACAAAACTGCAGATAAGATTAGTCACTTCACTGCAATGCGCGTCGACACAGACGACAATTATCCCGGTTTTAGGAATGGCAGTAATAGTTAGTCTTTCCGCAAAGAATTTCGTTAGGTTTCTTGAGTGAAAACCTTGCCATGTGTGGTTATTAACTAATCGTCTCTGACATCGACATTGGGAAAATTTGCAGGTTGAGGAGAAGAAAAAAAAAGAGGCAAAGGTGACCGACTGTTGCAGTTACAGACAATGTAAACAATGCAAACTGACATGAAACACACGCAGTTCCGGTCGTGCATATCTAATAAAATACTTGCCATGAACACATAAAAATATCGACAAGAAATTGTGACTAGTTTGATTGTGAATTGTGGCTTAACAGGCCTGAACACGGAATAGTCTGAATACGGTTTTTTTTATATATTTTTGTCATGAGCTATTTTTTGCGTGGGATCAACTTCCACAAATTTAGCTTGACGTGACCAGGTATTCTCGTTTTTTTCCAGTTCGAAAAGGGGCGAGAAAAAACACAAAACAAAAAAAAAAGGTTAGATTTCATTCACCCCCGACATGTTTCACGGCGTGAAAATGTGTTCACTCTTAATTTCACGGCGTGAAAGTTTACACCGGTGAAATAATCACGGCGTGGAAGTCTTCACTGATCTTTCGCAACATGATCAGTTTCACGCCAAGAGTGAAAAATTCTCGCAAGGAGTGAACGGGCGTGGAATTTGAAATTCACGCCGTGAAAACTCTAATTCACGCACCGTGACCGTGAAAAAAATTCGCGGTTTTTAGTGAAATCCATAAGCCCCCTTTTCGCATGAAGGGTCACAGATAAACTCAGTTAGAGCCCAGAAAGGGTCTGTCAAGTGTACCCTTGCTACCTTTTAGTGTTTAAATTTTTCTAAAAAACAATAAAAATTATTGTTGCTACAAAGAAAAGCCTTTGCTCTAAACAGTCTGTTGACAAGGTGCCTGCAAAACAAAAGCAAAAGAAAATAATACAGGGTGCAGGATAAGAAGATGCACACAATGTGCATGTTCAAGACAGGCTGTGCACCTCACAGTAATCCTTGCCTGAACGTTTGCTGCGTGCATGTAAGTTATACTCACCTCAACTTCCTCAGATTTCCCACTAATATCCTCTTTTAACTGATCCATAACTCGCTTGTGGTTATGTCTAGCATTGGCAGACACATCCTTTTCATTTTGAAGACATGCATTCAGTTCTTCCTGCAATTTCTTTTCATCAAAGTACAAATCTTTATAACACAAATCATCTCCTTCATCTTCAGTGGCTTTGTCATCAAGTTTCCATAGCAGATACTCCTCTTCAAAAGCCTCTTTGGATGCACTCACTTGAACGCCTGTGGTCTTGTTAGTCTCCATGCCTGTTTGACAACAACAATCGAACACAACGGTGACATCAGTTTGCGTACTAGCCTGTGTAACACTGGTAACTGGAGGTGTCGCAACGCAATCATTACGGCACTTTTTTGCACCAACAGGTGTTTCAGTACTTTTCCCAACTTTTATTCCATTTCTTTTTGCCAGTTCCTCAAAGACACCTCTCTTTGTAACAACAGATTGCTTTGCCGGGAGATCAAGCATGTCTTCTTGAGGGAAGAAGAGATCTTCACTAGGAGCAGGTGAACTAGAGCAATGCGATGAAGATCTTGAATTGCTTACTTTAATACCCTTCAAACGCGCAATTTCTTGAAACAAGGCAATTTGCGGATCTGGATCCAGCTCATAAGGACATGTGTACATGTCTGTATAATAATCACTGCCTTGTGCGTTCTCACCCATTATAAATTCAAGCTGTTCCAAAGAACTGTCACCAGAGTTCTTGCTAAGAGTACCATCACCTACTTTAATCCCATTCAATCTAGCCATTTCTTGAAATTTGGCAATTTGAGCATCTTGGTCGTCTTGAGTATCTGCTACACTTTCAGCCCCTGAGATTTGCTCTTTGTAGAAATTAGCAGTTGAATAATCTTCACCTGAAACATTGCCAACCTTAATACCTTTTAGGCGGGCAATTTCTTGAAATGTCTTGATTTGAGCAGCTCCTGTCAAAGACATTTCACCTGCTGCAACATGTTCACTTGTGAGCACAGTTCCTGAAGAAGCAGTAGTCTCACATGATGCCTTGTCAGTTTCAAAACTCTCTTCTTTTTTCTCTACATCTAGGTTTTCAGATTCATCTTTTGAGCTTGTTTTTCCCATTCTTGTTTCAAGAGTTTTTGTTTCAAAACTTTCACACTGAAGTGCATCAGGTTTTCCTGGGGTTTCAAAACTCACAACTGGTTCATAAGACCCTGTGACAGGTTTATTTTCTGTCGACAGTTTTCCTACAAAATGTATAGTTTCCTCATCGATGACTTCACGTTCCTTACAAAGATTGTAACCCTTAACTGACTGAATTTTCTCACAGTCCTTTGTTTCTTCAATGCTGAGGCAATTCCCTGCCACAGTATTCTTGAAAAGATCAATCACAGGAAATACAGTATTCATTTCTTTTTCCACCTCTGCTTCAAACCCACTTGCACTTCCAGTAGCCTCAGGAGCATTCTCTACTTTTCCAACATGTGTCTCTCTACAAGAGTTTTCCCAACTCTCTGCTTCTGCTGACAAACTGCTGCTTGATAACACAACTTGTGCCAATGTTGTAGAAATGAGTGTTCCTTCATCTCCCCCAATGGCATCTGATGTACTGTTCACCACTGAACTATGTGCACTAGTGACTGCTAATTTATCTTTTGAACCTGCTGGTATTATAGAACAGGAATACATTAGTTCGTTTATAGGGCAACTAAGATTGCACTGTTTGCTCTAGCATGCACATGCCAAACTGGAAACTCTTTCATTTAACAAGAGCTAAACCAGGGTGCAAAGAAAGTCAGTTTTACAGCTTGCCATTCGGGCAAGCTGTAGCTAACATGTACTAGCCCAAAAGTCATTTCAACTAGCCCGAAAAAAAATTTGATGAGCAGGATTGACTACAGTTCTTCTGTCATTCGAATTCCTAAAAAAATATCTCTTGCCCGTCGGGCAAGTTAAAAACAGAATTCACTAGCCCGATAGCAAAATCCACTAGCCCCGGGCTATCAGATACTACTTTCTTTGCACGCTGGCTAAACTGAGAAACATGCAACAAAACTGCAGATCAAGAGTCTACCTGAAAAATTCTCTGAATCCCTATTATCTTATAATAATGCCTTCCAGTTCCAATAACAACCACTGGACATTTTACCCAGTAAATAGAAACATTAGATAGTGGAGCTGACGCAATAAGGAAAAAACACTGGCTGGTGACAGTGGACCTCTACACCTTGTATGTTTTGCTTTCCCAATAGAGGTCTCAGGGGAACTTGACCCTTGTCTTTTCATAAATTATGCACACATATGCATGTGAATGAAACAAAATTTGAAAGAAATAGTTCTCTAGAGTATTAACACATGACCTGTACTGGGAAAACAAAACATACAAGCTAAAGAGGTCTATAGCCAGTAACTTCCGCAGGTGTAATTCTTGTTATAAGGCTTGTAAAATTCATTAACAAGTATCTTTTTTTCCCTCAAAAATACTTGGCTCCAGTAATAAGAAGAGGTAGATTTTAAGTTCATTTTTGGATGAAAAGCTGACAAGTTACAATCCTTTTATATGTTTTCAATAATGGCCAAAGAGAGCCACAAATAGGCTCAGATCATGTGTGATGTACATGTACCTCGTATAAATGATCATCTCCAATTTTAATTTTATAGAATATCCAAGTACAACTGTAATAATATCACACCTCTAGGTTTTTCTAAGTATTTCATTACCTGCTGGGCAAACAGTTATTCCATTTTTCTCAGCAATCTTTTTAAAGTCCTCCAGAGAACCACTCTGCTTTGCTGTTGCTCCAGCTGTCAAGGAGAGATAAAGTCCTATGGTAAGTGAACCATTATTAACCAACAGTACATGTACTTTGCAGGACAAAAAATTATATCATTACTGTGTATTAACCTGTGAAAGGTTTGAACCCAGGAGTCATTTCTAACAATATAAAAAGTACTTCTAATACACTGTAGCTCCTTGCAGGCACCATCACACATTATAAAATGAAAATTCAAGTGGACCTTCAAGCTGTAGGGAAGCCAAAGTAATAGTGAGGCATCATTTCTATGATTTAAAAGAATGGAATCAAATTGAGGAAAAACAACAACTTTAACAACAACTAAGTTGCAACCATGGTTGAAATCTAAAAAAAAATAAATGGTGATCAGGAAAACACCTTGTGGCCATTTCTTAGAGGTAGCTTATAGAAGAGGTTTGACCAAACAACGGTGGACCAAACACATACAGTAATTTCTATCACCTTTATTCTGCTCTTTTCCAATTCTGATACCGTTCTTCTGTGCTGCAAGCTCAAAGAACAACTCCTTAGTCCAACCATCAGTAGGACTGCCCAGCTTTTCTAGTTCCCATCTGGTTTTTCGTGTTGTTAGGGCAGCATCAGCAGTAAGAGGGATGGGAAACAGAGGAATGTTATATGTAGGAGAAGGTGGATCAAATGTTCTGTAATCAGCTGGAACAGTGGGTCTAACAACAACAGGGACAAGCTTGGGTCTCATAACAAATGGGCGGCAGAATTGTGGATTCATCCTGTTGTTCTTCTTTGCTGTAAACCTGTGGATAACCTGACAGAAGAGTTTATACTTTTAAGCCTTATGTGCTGATGAGGGAAATTTATTTAACAATCAACCCATTTTAATTTTAACCCTTTACGTCCCAGTACAGTATGTTGCCCAGTATCCGGACACTTGAAACAAAAACTCAATTTTTGAGGCGCCCTTTTCAGTTCTCGGTAAACGAAGTATTTCAACTGAAAGCTGAACATTTCAGCTTTCAGATGAAAGTTTTGCCGATTTGAAAGCTTGCGAAACAGTTGCAGAAGATGCCGTTCTGTTCAGGTGAGTAAACTTTTCATGGCTAATATTTACGCTGTTTACTGCGCAGTAAAATTAGTACTGCTCAGAAAAGGGAGGGTAATGTGTGATACTTTCAAAGAAACTGTTTTATTTTTAAAGTGAAGATACTTAAGGAAGTCAGGTTTTCAGAAAGTTTATTAATTCTTCTTGAGATTCGGTTTGTTTGGAATAACAGAGGCCAGAAACATTCACTAAGTTTGGATGTCATGTGCCCAGTATCCGGACAGTTTTTTCTCTGCTGTACAGAATCAATGAATTAGCTGTGTACATTATCCGGTTAAGATTTATTTTATATCAGTAACTATAATTAAAGCTTAGGATATATGATATAGTCGTAAAATTTAATTCTACTCAACTCCATATGGAAATTTTCTACACTCATTCAGAGGCGACTTGATTTCGTGTGCACGGCTTGTTTCGCGTGACTGCATTTTCTATATATAACTGAAAGCGTCTGGGTTGAACCTGGAATTCTCATACTTTCCTCACTTGTGACTGCTACAATGGGGTTGCAACGGTCTGAAAAATGTCGCAAAGGGATTGAGAGATGTGAAAGAAGGAGGAATTAGTGCTAGAAAAGCAGGCTTATTGTGGGGACTGAGCATGAAGAAATCAACACTGCAGGTCAGACTAAATAGGAGTTTCTCTACTTTTCCAACATGTGTCTCTCTACAAGAGTTTTCCCAACTCTCTGCTTCTGCTGACAAACTGCTGCTTGATAACACAACTTGTGCCAATGTTGTAGAAATGAGTGTTCCTTCATCTCCCCCAATGGCATCTGATGTACTGTTCACCACTGAACTATGTGCACTAGTGACTGCTAATTTATCTTTTGAACCTGCTGGTATTATAGAACAGGAATACATTAGTTCGTTTATAGGGCAACTAAGATTGCACTGTTTGCTCTAGCATGCACATGCCAAACTGGAAACTCTTTCATTTAACAAGAGCTAAACCAGGGTGCAAAGAAAGTCAGTTTTACAGCTTGCCATTCGGGCAAGCTGTAGCTAACATGTACTAGCCCAAAAGTCATTTCAACTAGCCCGAAAAAAAATTTGATGAGCAGGATTGACTACAGTTCTTCTGTCATTCGAATTCCTAAAAAAATATCTCTTGCCCGTCGGGCAAGTTAAAAACAGAATTCACTAGCCCGATAGCAAAATCCACTAGCCCCGGGCTATCAGATACTACTTTCTTTGCACGCTGGCTAAACTGAGAAACATGCAACAAAACTGCAGATCAAGAGTCTACCTGAAAAATTCTCTGAATCCCTATTATCTTATAATAATGCCTTCCAGTTCCAATAACAACCACTGGACATTTTACCCAGTAAATAGAAACATTAGATAGTGGAGCTGACGCAATAAGGAAAAAACACTGGCTGGTGACAGTGGACCTCTACACCTTGTATGTTTTGCTTTCCCAATAGAGGTCTCAGGGGAACTTGACCCTTGTCTTTTCATAAATTATGCACACATATGCATGTGAATGAAACAAAATTTGAAAGAAATAGTTCTCTAGAGTATTAACACATGACCTGTACTGGGAAAACAAAACATACAAGCTAAAGAGGTCTATAGCCAGTAACTTCCGCAGGTGTAATTCTTGTTATAAGGCTTGTAAAATTCATTAACAAGTATCTTTTTTTCCCTCAAAAATACTTGGCTCCAGTAATAAGAAGAGGTAGATTTTAAGTTCATTTTTGGATGAAAAGCTGACAAGTTACAATCCTTTTATATGTTTTCAATAATGGCCAAAGAGAGCCACAAATAGGCTCAGATCATGTGTGATGTACATGTACCTCGTATAAATGATCATCTCCAATTTTAATTTTATAGAATATCCAAGTACAACTGTAATAATATCACACCTCTAGGTTTTTCTAAGTATTTCATTACCTGCTGGGCAAACAGTTATTCCATTTTTCTCAGCAATCTTTTTAAAGTCCTCCAGAGAACCACTCTGCTTTGCTGTTGCTCCAGCTGTCAAGGAGAGATAAAGTCCTATGGTAAGTGAACCATTATTAACCAACAGTACATGTACTTTGCAGGACAAAAAATTATATCATTACTGTGTATTAACCTGTGAAAGGTTTGAACCCAGGAGTCATTTCTAACAATATAAAAAGTACTTCTAATACACTGTAGCTCCTTGCAGGCACCATCACACATTATAAAATGAAAATTCAAGTGGACCTTCAAGCTGTAGGGAAGCCAAAGTAATAGTGAGGCATCATTTCTATGATTTAAAAGAATGGAATCAAATTGAGGAAAAACAACAACTTTAACAACAACTAAGTTGCAACCATGGTTGAAATCTAAAAAAAAATAAATGGTGATCAGGAAAACACCTTGTGGCCATTTCTTAGAGGTAGCTTATAGAAGAGGTTTGACCAAACAACGGTGGACCAAACACATACAGTAATTTCTATCACCTTTATTCTGCTCTTTTCCAATTCTGATACCGTTCTTCTGTGCTGCAAGCTCAAAGAACAACTCCTTAGTCCAACCATCAGTAGGACTGCCCAGCTTTTCTAGTTCCCATCTGGTTTTTCGTGTTGTTAGGGCAGCATCAGCAGTAAGAGGGATGGGAAACAGAGGAATGTTATATGTAGGAGAAGGTGGATCAAATGTTCTGTAATCAGCTGGAACAGTGGGTCTAACAACAACAGGGACAAGCTTGGGTCTCATAACAAATGGGCGGCAGAATTGTGGATTCATCCTGTTGTTCTTCTTTGCTGTAAACCTGTGGATAACCTGACAGAAGAGTTTATACTTTTAAGCCTTATGTGCTGATGAGGGAAATTTATTTAACAATCAACCCATTTTAATTTTAACCCTTTACGTCCCAGTACAGTATGTTGCCCAGTATCCGGACACTTGAAACAAAAACTCAATTTTTGAGGCGCCCTTTTCAGTTCTCGGTAAACGAAGTATTTCAACTGAAAGCTGAACATTTCAGCTTTCAGATGAAAGTTTTGCCGATTTGAAAGCTTGCGAAACAGTTGCAGAAGATGCCGTTCTGTTCAGGTGAGTAAACTTTTCATGGCTAATATTTACGCTGTTTACTGCGCAGTAAAATTAGTACTGCTCAGAAAAGGGAGGGTAATGTGTGATACTTTCAAAGAAACTGTTTTATTTTTAAAGTGAAGATACTTAAGGAAGTCAGGTTTTCAGAAAGTTTATTAATTCTTCTTGAGATTCGATTTGTTTGGAATAACGGAGGCCAGAAACATTCACTAAGTTTGGATGTCATGTGCCCAGTATCCGGACAGTTTTTTCTTTGCTGTACAGAATCGATGAATTAGCTGTGTACGTTATCCGGTTAAGATTTATTTCATATCAGTAACTATAATTAAAGCTTAGGATATATGATATAGTCGTAAAATGTAATTCTACTCAACTCCGTATGGAAATTTTCTTCACTCATTCAGAGGCGACTTGATTTCGTGTGCACGGCTTGTTTCGCGTGACTGCATTTTCTATATGTAACTGAAAGCGTCTGAGTTGACACCTGGAATTCTCATACTTTCCCCACTTGTGACTGCTAGAATGGGTTTGCAACAGTCTGAAAAATGTCGCAAAGGGATTGAGAGATGTGAAAGAAGGAGGAATTAGTGCTAGAAAAGCAGGCTTATTGTGGGGACTGAGCATGAAGAAATCAACACTGCAGGTCAGACTAAATAGGAGAGTGACCTTTGACCGTCGGGTTGAGGTCCCTTCCCCAAGCTTTATTTTTAAAATAAAAAATGAGGAAAGAAAGTAGTTTGCAGATTGGCTAATTAAGCTTGCAAACTGCGGCTTTGGCATGTCCACGGATGCCTTCCTTAAATCAGTGAAAAAGTTCCTAGACAAGGAAGTAAGAATCACACCATTTTTAAAACAGCCGCTCGCGTTCCCCACCATACCCCAGTCATTTGTTATGTTTTATTTCACGATGCTAGGTTATATTTTTGGAATCGATTGCCAGACTACTTCGCAAGTGCAAGAGAAGCTTATAAGTCACTTGCCTGTCGAAATTTATGTACAATTACGTTGTTATTGTTGTGTCTGGATACTGGGCCAGCTGTCCGGATAATGGGCAACACGGGAGCTCTGCAAAAATATTAATTTCACGATGGAAACAAAGGCAAAAAAGTTAAACTGCCTTTTGTCATATTAAGGACAAGATAGATTTTCTCTGGGCCAAATTTCAGAGTTCTTGCGATTAACAAAGGAAAGTTATTGCAATCTTAAACTGAAGTGTTCGGATACTGGGCAACATACTGTATCCACACTTGAATTCTCCAGACTGATCTCCATACATTTCCTTAAAGAATTAGCTAAGAGAGTCTGACAAAAGGTCAAAGCATTTTCCCTTTGATGATCAAGTTGTCAAATACCACAAGCAAGGATTGTTGTTATTGTGTTCACAATTGACAATAAAATTGTGTGCAGTATTTAACGATGAATTTCTTCAAGAAATACCCACGTAATGATTAAGAAGCTACATCAAACACTCAAAGAGTTTTTCATCTGTTATCTAGACACCTCAAGTTGCTTAACTTTGCAAAACATAGCTACAACAATAGGCCCATTTATACCAGAGAAAGTAAGCTGTGATTTACTGTGGCCGCAGCCTACACAAGACGTCAAGGAACCATTTATACTAGCACGGCTTACAAATACGCGAACTGCTCATATAAATGGCTCACAGCTGAGTTCGCGGCCAGACTGGTCCAAAAATGACATAGTCTGTTTTGGTGCCTCCCGTAAAGTGCAACAATTCCACTACTGGGGGCCATTCAGTTTCATATCCACTCCCCTAAATTGATGAGATACTTTGACATTTCCCTAAACACTTCCCTAAAATTGTGAATGTTTGCACAAAACACTTGGAAAAAGCATTGTTACGCATTTATCCCCTCAGAAACTGTGCTCAAAACATCTTATAACCTTAAGAAATATTTGATTTTCTGCTCCCTCTTCTCAGAAAATCTGGTCTTCTTTACTACAGACAACTTTCAGAAAATTCATCTCATCAACCAGGAAAGAGGTTAGACTTGCTACAAGTTGACCTCTCATAAGTTCATACAAGTGAGCAAGGCGAGCTTTAATGCATGAGGTCGAGCAGCGACAGAGCGAGCGACAAAGTCTCGAGGTTGACTTGTTTTGCCTGAATGGATTTGAATCATAAATATAAATTCACATGGGAAAAAAATAAATGACATATGCTGTGTCGGGAGCGGCGTGAAATATCACCCACTGTCCTATTGGTCAATTATCATGACGTAATCAATAGAATTTTCCAGCAGAGAATTTTGCGCCAAACAGGCATGAAAAGTCCTTTAGAATGGCATAACCAACCAGGAAAAAAATAAACGAGTTTTAAAAAGTCTAGGGAGGGGTGTGGATATTCATAGGAATGGCTCTGACCTTAAAAATTTCTAAATTTTATGGTGCCACTTGGGGCCATCAAGAATAAAAAAAAAAACGTTGTGAATATGGCAAAAAAGGTATTTGGAAGAAAATTTGGTATGAAATTCTTTCTGGTCTATATTCCATAGTTATGGGAAAAACAACTCTACTTTACTATGGTTTCATTGTTTGTTTTGTCAGAACATACTACTGTCACTGAGCTTCATCCATTAATTCGTTTCTGGAAAAATGATTTATTATGCGGAAACAAAAGCTTTAACAATAGAACATAAGCTTAATAATGACGGAAAACAAGAAGAGCTTAAAGATGATGGCGTTACAAACTTTAGGAAATATAAGCTTAACGTTTTGCAATCCGAGTCTGACAGGAACTGTAATAAAAAAGCCAGGAGTATCCGCCCTGATTTAACACTGCAGTTGACGTTCGCGTCGTAAAGCAGTGCGTGGAGAAAAGATATAAAGTCTGCCGTTTTCTATCATAAAAACCCGAAACGCAAATGCAAATTAAAGGCCTGCGAGAACACAATGCTTTTTGTAGCTACAGATAACCAACGTATAAGCGCGTAAGCAGAAAATTTGACGCAAGACAGCGAAAAGCAGAACAGAGATTGTTTGCGCATCCAAACATTTCACCTTTAAGAAACCTTTTGAGGTCCACATCGTTTACTGCTTCGCAAAATGCGTCTTTCTTCACGCTTATTCCGAAGCAAAGCTTAAGGTCTCAAACAATTGAACAGATACTAGAAGCTTGTATTTGTTGACAACTCGACCATGCATGGCGCTGATCGCTCAACCATTGCATACCGCAACAACATGTGGCTTGCGGGCGATTACTCATGCAAAATATCTACTTCATACTTGCCTTATCAGTCCATTATGTCTTTGCTTTTAAGGATTGCAGAAATGAAAAGACGAAATACGCCACAACGTAGATACTTTCAGCTCCGTGCCATCTCCATTCCTCGCAGCGTCGCGGTACGCGCTAGACTAAACAGCGTGACATGAGCCGCCGCTCATCGTGACCTGTTTCCCGCGCTTTTGGTGAGTCACCACAGGGCACGTCACAGGGCACTCAACATGCAACAGAGACAGTCAAAGAAAAGAACTTAGAACTCATGCCGAAAGATGTCTTTAAAAGACAAACAAGAGAGAAATTAATAGGGAAAAGAAAGCTGTCACCAGCACGACGGCTACACGAACTAAATTCAGGAGTTTTTGCCACAAGACCTAACAATCGGACTGTACCAGTTGTTTATAGGCCACGTGCCGGCCGTAGCCACACCTCAAACCACACCCTTCCTGCTGGAAGTAAGAGTTACATGTGCAATTTCACATGATAAACGTTAGACAAAACAAACATTTATCAGGATCCGACTGAAAGGAAGATTCTACCCTCTTCTCCTGTCTGAATTAATTCTATTAGACAAAGCACATGTTATTCCAGGTGGGGGGTGATCTTATGTCAGTGTTTTGTGTAATCAAAAGCAAGTCCTCACCCGTGTCAGATCTGTCTACTGAAAACAGTCAAGGTTGCGGAAGTTAAATTCAAAATAAACACGCTGATTTAGCACACTGGTATTTCTTAAAATCACGAACGCCAAAATAACAATCAATTTGTCGTTTTGCTTGTACAATTGTTGGGGGCTTGTGTAACTCGCTTGGCTTTTTAACGAAGAGGACCAAGACTCTGTTCGTTCTCCTTAGACAGCAGTTTATTCTTCAAAAGCTTCTGACAACAACTCTACTACTCAACTAACTCTACTAGCTTACACAGCGAATTAAATAAGTAAATTGTAGACTTGTTTTGAGTTAGCCGACCGGAAGAGGTTCTATTGAATACCTTATCGCCTATATCGCAACAGCTTTGCTACAGTAAGATAACCTAACAGTTTGCTCCAACCTGGATACGTAACAGGGCGTCAGCGATCTTTTTGCCAGATTGATGGATCATATCTTATTTTTGCGGCTTCCGCCCCGCAGAGACCAGTTGAACGAATAGCAGACAAAACGTGCAATATCTGGCATTGAAATAAGGATTTTACTGAGCCTGTTTGAGGCGTTCAGACAGTGGAGTGCAGCGCGAAGTCGGAGAGCGGGGGAAAAGAAGGAGGGAGAGCAGGAGAGGAAGCAACTCACCCCTACCCCATCCCCTCTGATTTTCCTTGTCACATCTCTTTGCGCCTTCCCTACAATCTGAACGTCCCGAAGTCATTTCGCCCCCGTTACTAAGCCGCCAATGTTCGAGTCATTCAGCGCGCTTCAGATGTAATATCCTCGTTCTATAAGCCATACAGGAAAACAAGCACACATCAAATGTAATATTCCTCTTCTATAAGCCATAAACCAAAACAACCGCGCTTTAAATATAATATTCCTTGTTGTAGAATAAGGGGTCAAGTTACCGGGGCGAAATGACTTGGGGGCGAGATGACCGGTAACCCCTGGAACAGGCTAAGAGTTTAACGGGTATGGCCTGACCGACAGACGTAAGCTGTAATGTCCAATGTCAACATTTGTGGAACTTGGCCGCGAACTGACTATGCAAAAGGGCTAGCGGAGCGAATAAATAATAATTATCATTTGCTCAGTTGACCCTTTTGCTACCCTGTTTTTTATTTGTTGCAAATTTCGTACCTCATTTTTTCTGTTCCGTTCCTCTCTTTGCGTCATCCCCACTACCTGAACGCCTGGAATCCTGGGAAACATCCTGAATCTAGGCAAGCAGTCCCAATATCAAGACCCTTTTATGATTTAGTGTTATAGACCCACATTAGCCTGCGTAGCAAGCGTTTCAAATCGAGTTATTGCGCGAAAGTTAGAGCGGTAGCAAAAAAACCCTGTCATTCCTTTTTTTTTTGCTCTCGTTCCAACTTTCTCGACTAACTCGCGCGGAAACGCTTGCTACGCAGGCTAGACCCACATAGGTATATCTCCCTTAGGATTCATGTTAAAACAACAATAACTAACAAACTTCAGCACACTAGCCTTTATATACAAAATTGCATTTAATTTCATTTGAACTCTGAAATTATCATAATTTGGTTCCGAAAATATGTTTTTTCAATTACAAAAGAATATGTTTTTTAACTAGTAGAAGTTAGTAAAAAATTGCTAGCAACAGCTTAATAGCCTTAGACTTAATCCACTAGGATAAGCCTTGAAAATTAGGTTCTATGTACATCCAATTTTTGGTCTTCTCAGACACTTCTACTCCCTTTTCCAAGTCTTCAGTTGACAAATATTTACATTATTTTTAACAAACTATTTTAAGTTTTCTTCTGAGCAAGCTACTTTAAGAGAGAAATGAATTATTTTCCAATATACAATATTAAACTTCTGATTAGAAATACAACAACGTAGAACATTTTTATACTGTTTACTGGTGCTAATTTCTGAAATAATTTTGGTGAATTATTTTCACTTCCCTATCATAGTAAAATCTGTATTCACAATAATGAGAAATTAGTAAGAAATTCTGTATATCTGATAAGGCGATACCCCCAATATCTGGAATAATTCTTATTCAGGTCCCTGAGATATGGAGTTATGAGTCTTCCAGTCTCTTAATATGAACTTTATTAAATAGAACCATGGTTTGGAATAAATCTTTTCATCGTGTTTTACTTAATAAATTTTTTACTAGAATCATTCAAACTGAGTTATTGTAAATCCTGCAATGATTTTTTAGCTATGTTCTACATTTGGTCAATCTTTCAGAGAAATTTTTTTCAAGGAAAACAGACTAGTTTATGCCAAAATTTAAGTGCCCCAGCTTCAAGTATATTTCTTGAGAGGCACAGCAAGTTAGAGAAGGGCGAAGGCACGGACAATACTGGATTCACCCTAACATCTGACAGCATTATCTAACAGAGAACAAAATTAATGTATACACATAGCATCAAAATTCGCTGAAGCAAGTCTTCTCCAGGGACTCTTATTTACAAAAGTACATGCAAATATTTAACACTTCAAAATTTAAGGTATTAAAATATAGAAATAATGATAAATTCCATGCTTTAAAATGGTGACTGATAATTGAATTGATTGGAAGAATACTGTGAAATAATTCCAAAATATGTTATTCTGGTGCATTAGTTACAAATTAGAGCATTTTCGGTTAGTTCTGGTTTACACACCCTGGCTGCGAGGGAGGGGAGGGACTCAACAAAGTTTTTTTCAGAGATGCCTGGTGTCAGTCAGGTACAACGATTACCCTGGTACCCCTAGAAACTTTATATCACTTTCCTTTGGAGTAAAGCTTTAATAAATTTAAATGAATCAGCCATCTCCTCAAGATAAGTGTAACTATTCCTAAACTGTGTTCTAGGGGACTTCGGTATGAAAGATGGGGATAATTGTCATCTTGCTCAGGGATGTTAAAAAAAAGCCAATAAATATTTTTACCCTTTAATACCCAGTATAGTTTAGAGTTGTCCATTCATAATGTCTCTATAGAACAATCCAAGTACATACAACTGTGTTTAAAACAGCATTATTTTGATGTTAACATCTTTAGTGCAATTAAAATCACTACGTAGTTCTCATCTGGTTGTCTGCTTTAGTACTAAATCCTCTTTGGAGGTCAAATAAAGACAGTGAGCCATACCCAGAAGAGTGACTTTCTAATTCTCTGACGAGCTTTCCCCATATTTTTATATTTGAGTCCACACCAGCAATTTTATACACCTCTAACCTGAAAAAAGGTACCTCTTTAAGGGCAAATCATCTCTGTACTTAAAATATTAAATGTACCCGAGCCTAATTTATCTTCCAGACCTTGGTATTTTTAGTGTTGTCAATGTCTTTTTTTCTTTTTTGTATTAATATTAATAATAATATTATTATTACTATTGCTAAAAAAGTAATGGACAGACCATTAGAAATCTTAAGGGGGGGGGGAAGTACAAAAAAAATATTAGTGCAAGGGATAATTTAATGGAAAAAATTCATGCATGCAACTTAACCCTAAAAAATATTCATGCAATAGCCTAAAAAAATTTGTACAAGGAAAATGTTAACAGAAAAAAAAATCATGCAGCTCGAAAATTCCCCACCACCCCCCATAACTTTTCTAATGGTCCATCCCCAATGAGACCCCAATGACAGCAAGCTCGAGTAACTGAGTCAAAGTTCAGCGCTGCACTCTAGCAGCACCCAGTGCTCTCTTGTGCTTCTGAGCTTTGGACAACAAAGTATGAAGTCAACATTTTCATTGGGCATATATAATACGTGGAATGTTAATTCTCGTTATATTTGATGTAGGGATTGGGAGGTTTTTCTGTAATCTTGCTCTGCTCCGAATAATTTAAATTCCTCAGGAGTGTTCCCTGGGGTAAAAGACGGGGCTTTAAACGGGAGTTCCCTCGGGAGGTGTCGGATTCACACTGTAGCCCGAAGCTCGCAGGGCTTGATTTACCTCATGTCTTAATGAATCACCTTGCGAACCTCCAAGAGTTATACGCCTTGACTTGTCGCGTCTTCTACTTTCAAATTCTTTCCTTACAGGCGTTAGTGCTTGGTAGTTCGTGTTGAACAAATCGCTAACCTTACGTAACTCTTGGGCTATCTTGACCGCCTCTCGTGTGAGGGGCTCCGAATGAGATCGCGACCGTCTGCCTTCGTCCACTTGTAGATACTGCAACCTTTCGTCCAGAAAAGACGGCACAGACCTGTTATGACCAAGCGGTCTAGGAACATTGAAGTTGAACTGCAAATCTTCACTGTCATTTTCTGTGTTTTTCGCCGTTTGTTTTTCTTCCACAAGATCTGACCTTGGTTCATTATTATCAGGTGACTGGGCGCTAATTTCCAGATGGAACATTTTCAGCGAACGCACCCTGCTATTAACGTCTTTATCGCAGTTGTCTGTCTGAGTTAAGTTTCTGCTCAGCTGAAATGGATGTATTAACTTCACCTTGGGCAATCTGACGCAAAATTTAACAAATGCTGCCTGCAAATCAAGCATTGATTGTTGTAAGCTGATTAGTGGGCCAAAATACAAAATAGGCCAATACGCGCAGCGGCGCCGTGAAAATTCAAACTCCGTTCTAATCATAAAATAATCATGATTTTTTTTTATATTAGAAGCTGCACTGAAATCAAGAAATTACCTTGAATGTACACCAAATCCGATTTAACTATTAGTGTTCTTTTTCCAATGTTGCTTTGCACAAGATTTCTGTCACGAAAATGCATTTGCGTTCGGTTTATTTTCGTCCTTAACTTATGATTACTTCAACAGCCAATCAGAGAAGAACAACTAACAGGTTTAAGAAAGTTAATGACGGTCATAACAATTGCCTTTGTTCTGTCTTGGCATAAAGCCAAAAATATATTTGCGGTAATTAAAGAAATGTGCAATATATGTACGAAAGAGACAAAGCAGACAGAAAACTGAGGAATTTTCCGTCGGCGAAAAAAATATGTTTTTTTTTTTTTTAAATAATGAGATAACCATGATAACATGCAGTCGTATTTTTTCTTTTGGATAGGGGTGGGGTGGGGGAGGCAACAGATCAGAGAAGTATAGTATGTACATGTCTAGCCTGAGTGCAGGGGTCAAGTTAACCAAGTCTGACAGCAAATTAAATCTGAAAAAGTCATTTCATTAAAAATAAGATAAAAGAGCACAAAACATAATAGAAACATTAAAATTCGGCCTGAGGGCCTGTGAAGTCTACCGACTGGTAATCTGCGATCAGGTGGTCCTTTGTGGCAGGAATAACTTTTGGTGATATGAAACGATAAAAGTAACTCCTGCCCACTGGAAATCGCCTTTTTGCCAGCTCAAATTTATGACAAAGTCTTAAAAATTAAAAAAAAAGTCTAGAGTGTGAACACGGCGAAATTGCGTAGAGCCATAAATTCTTCGGCTGGCGTTTTTACGATTGAGTATTACTGTTACTATTTTGTTTTAGATATTGTTCAACGTCTAAAAATTGCTGAACAGGCGCATAATTACGCGTTGGTTGGTTTCCGCTGGCTAACGGAAATTACGCTCGGCCGCAACTCATGTGCATAGCTTCGGCACGTAGGGTAAGCACTTAGACACTGAGAGTCGTACAAACAACAATGTTGGTGCGTCACAAAATCTTTACCCTCAAAACCAAAGAACCTTTATATATCAGCGTTACGTGATTCGTTGCGTGATAAGGTAGGAGCCTGTTACCCACAATTTTCAAAAGTCGTGCACTCCAACCTGGAAAATGCTAATCAAAACCTTTCTCGCGAATCTGATTACCGTGCCGACATAAAAATGTCTTTAATTTGATAACCATGTATGAAACACTCTGACCTTCTCGTAAATACCCTATTTACACAAGAAATCTTTTATCGCCTTCTACTTTCTTCGTTCTTGTCATCAACATCATCTTCAATCATCATTTCATCATCAACATCATCTTCAATTATCATTTCATCATCATCATCACCTTCGTCATCCTTTCGTCTCTGCAGTAACTAAGGAAGTATTTAATAGGTTGCAAGATGAGATGAAAACTTCCGACCTCAAGGACCTGGTTGTTTGCACGTTCAAATTGTTGCGAAAAAAAAACACGCGTCACTGGACAACGAATTACAACAAAACCACTGAGAACAGCCAACCCACCGGAAGTCATGCACAAGGAACTGAGGACCGGTTTGCTTACATACCATAAAATTTAATTCGTATTTGTTTTATTACAATATTTAAGCCAAGTGTCTACTTAAGAAAACAACGTTCTACGTCTGATGTTTATGTTGAACGTGACATTATGCAGAGAAGTGCCCATGACATTAAAAAAGAATTCAGTGCAGGTCAGCCAATATTTAATTTTTCTTCGTCGAAGACTTTCTCGTGGTAAGTGTTCCAAAATCGCAAAAGGCCGGCCAATATTTATCAAAGGGGGAATTATGGTGGCAGTTTTTTCAAATAAAAGCGCCTGTTAAACGGAAAAAGAGAGAAAGAAAGAAACTCAGAAAAAAAGCTTGAAAAACCAGTCCGCATACTAAGCCATTCAGGTTGTTGGCTGTCTTAGGGGCACCTTAGTTTTGTTATGGTGGACCATGTTGTCTGTCCTCATGGATAAACATCCTGAAAAAAGATCATCCAAAATTCTCCCATACTTATTGTGCCAGGGGCTCTAACCTACCTTAAACTTTTTTGTATCAAAAGAAATCTCTCAGAGAAACTCCCAAAATGTGTCGGAAGTACAACAAGGCATTTGACCTCAGTACAGTACCCCTTATGAAGTACTTGCCAGATTTTAGAAGGGGGAAGGGGGTTATCTTGAGTCTTCTCATGGAGCCTGTGTGTGGCTCCCTCGTTCCCAAGGGCCGTTCCCACGGGAGATGAGTAGGGGATTCACTTTGTCAGCGGTTATACAAAGGAAAAACAAGACTTTCACTCCTGACCACAAAATGGCGGTCTTCGATGTAATTTTGAACGACAAGATTTCTGATTTGAGAGACCTGCTGCGCTCCGATCCAAAGTGTGCAAACTCTGTAGGATGGCACGGCCTCACTCCTCTGCATCAAGCAACTTTGAGAAATAACCAAGAAATTATGGATTTGTTGCTGGATCACGGTGCTAATGTGAACCAAGCAAACGCATTCGGCGAGACTCCTCTCCACTTCGCTTGTCAAGCGGCTTCTTTACACTGCGTAAACAAGTTCATCGAGAACGGAGCAGATCTAAGAGCAGAAGATGAAGCTGGGAGAACTTGTATTCATCATGCTGCTAGGAGTGGGTCTGTGTAAGTGTGAGTTGACTTTTGGTTGAAGATGACACCCATTCACTACTGAAACATATTAAAATTCCATTACTCCACAACATTCGACTGTGGTAGAGTACTGGAGTTCACTGTGATTTTTGGCATCGGCGTGTTTTTTGCCGCAGATTTTATTTCAGAGTCAAAAAGCAAGACGTTCAGATATGTTTGATAAAAGTTTCAAAGTACAGCCAAAGCAAATGCTCTGTTGTTGACGTTACAAAGCAATTTCACTTTCCGTATCACCCAGTCAATATCTACCATTAAAACTTTATAGATTAAGTAAAACTATACAATTTTGTCTAGGAATTAATTTTTGCAGATTCTGGGATCATAGAATGTGCAAAAATTAAGTACCACAACCACTGTTAGGGGGTATTTTATTTATTTATTTATTTTTTTTATCCATTTTTGTTTGGTTTTTCAACTTTCATATTTCCCTTGTTGTCTGGCNACAAAATGGCGGTCTTCGATGTAATTTTGAACGACAAGATTTCTGATTTGAGAGACCTGCTGCGCTCCGATCCAAAGTGTGCAAACTCTGTAGGATGGCACGGCCTCACTCCTCTGCATCAAGCAACTTTGAGAAATAACCAAGAAATTATGGATTTGTTGCTGGATCACGGTGCTAATGTGAACCAAGCAAACGCATTCGGCGAGACTCCTCTCCACTTCGCTTGTCAAGCGGCTTCTTTACACTGCGTAAACAAGTTCATCGAGAACGGAGCAGATCTAAGAGCAGAAGATGAAGCTGGGAGAACTTGTATTCATCATGCTGCTAGGAGTGGGTCTGTGTAAGTGTGAGTTGACTTTTGGTTGAAGATGACACCCATTCACTACTGAAACATATTAAAATTCCATTACTCCACAACATTCGACTGTGGTAGAGTACTGGAGTTCACTGTGATTTTTGGCATCGGCGTGTTTTTTGCCGCAGATTTTATTTCAGAGTCAAAAAGCAAGACGTTCAGATATGTTTGATAAAAGTTTCAAAGTACAGCCAAAGCAAATGCTCTGTTGTTGACGTTACAAAGCAATTTCACTTTCCGTATCACCCAGTCAATATCTACCATTAAAACTTTATAGATTAAGTAGAACTATACAATTTTGTCTAGGAATTAATTTTTGCAGATTCTGAAATTATAGAATGTGCAAAAATTAAGTACCACAAGCACTGTTACGGGGTATTTTATTTATTTATTTATTTTTTTTATCCATTTTTGTTTGGTTTTTCAACTTTCATATTTCCCTTGTTGTCTGGCTAGTCCCCCCTTTCAATTCATCAGCCAGCATACACATTGTATACAATAATATTTAAAAGTTTGCTTAGTCAAACCTCACTTAATACGGACACCTTATTATCACGGAAAGTTTGCTTTGTCTCTGGGGAAAGAAAGTCCTTACACTTTCTCTAAATTCAACCCACTTAATACAGACACCCGTTAATAAGGACACTTCATATGGCCCCCTCAGTGTTTGCATTAAGGGGGTTTTTGAATATACTGCAATACAACTATTAATTTTAATTAAACAAGCTTATGTTTTTATTTTCTTATATTTTAGACTGAAACTGCATTATTTGACAGCATGTGGTCTGAGTTTGAAGAAAAGAGATAAAAGGTATTCAAATTGTTAATAGATTTTACTCCCTTCTGGCATAAACATAATGAGGTAGTTTTGCTTTCCATCTGCAATGAGACTGTGCCTCTACTTTTATGGTTTTCTTCCCCATGTGTGGTAATCCGTACCATGCGAAGTCTATCTGTTTTCAAGGGCAAAGGTAGTACCTTCATTTCTTCAGCTATTCTAAAACCCTAAGAGATGGTCTGGCTCTGGGAATTGAACCCACTCTGCAGTCAGTCTCTCTACTAAGTGAGCTAATCTTGTCGTGATTTAGCTAAGTTACAAGTGCATGAATCAAGAAATTCCATGCTACAGTATTGCAGTGGTTCAAAAGGCATAATGCTTTTCAGTGGATAAATCCCTATCCACTGGATAGTAAAGCCTGTGGAAAAAGTGTTTCCGTGTGATTTTAGAGCAAAGAAAGACCAAGGAATGTAATTTTTGGCTTTCACCATGCGAAAAAAGGAGAGACGCTTGCTACACAGGCTATTGATATGGCAATAAATATTTATATATTGTATATTTATCAGTGTCCCTAATACTTATCCCCTGGATGCTGATTTATCCGTTAGATATTACTATCGAACATTTAAAC